CAGCTGACAGGCGGGCCCTCCTGCCCGGCAGCGGAGCTCTGGCCAAAGCAGCGAGCGCCTCCCTGCCAGACCCTCCACTCATCCCGCCAGGGCTGTGCCGGAGCCGGGCGGGGTTGGCAGAGCTGGGAAAGCGAGCTGCTGGTGCGCACCCACCTGTCAAGCGAAAGAACCGGGCTGACTTGAGCTTGGCTTCCTTCCCAAGTCCCTCCAGCCCAACCCGGAAGGGGACACTGGGAGAGGCCGCCCGAGGCAGTGATAGTGCTCACCCATCCATGGATAGGGAGGCAAGGCAACAGCCCGCGTCGCGTCCTCCTCTGAGCTGAGCCCCGCCGAGTGAGCGCCTCTGCCCGATGCCCATGCCGCTGCAGCGTTCGGAGCTGCCGGTGAGTTTGGAGATGCGTGGGGACAGGGACGGGCTGGGTGAGGGGTGGAAAGAACAGGCGGCTTCGGGCTCTCTCCGCTGGACCTGCCGGTCAGGGAAGCAGCACCTGAAGCCAAGTGTCTCCACCAGGCTCCGGGTGCAGGGAGGAGCCCTGGCTGGCTGCGCGTGGCTGCGCCAAATGCCGCATGGCTGCGCCAAACACCACGGCGTTGCTCCAAACGCCGCGGCAAGCCCTCCCGCCATTCCCCCCCATTTCGCATGTTTTAATATAGGCCTTAATTTGGGGGGAGGGGCTTAATTTCATTTCATGCCAAGAAAACATGCTGGGACTTCCTATTGGGGGAGGCCGTATTGTTGGAGAAACAGGGTATTGAGCAGCTGTTTATTTTACCCTCTAGATTTGGTTAGTTTCTTTCTTGGATATATCTATTTCATCTTTTAAAAGACAGTCTTTCAAACATTTGAAGGTAACTATCATGTCCCCTTTAGATAGTGCCTGCATGGAAATGTATATGCAGAAGAGGGCAGAGACAGAGATCAAATGCTTAATGCAGGAAGGCATTAACAATGCAAAATTGATCCCTGAAGAAAAATCTGCAGATTTTAAAAATCATGCTATTCCCACCTGTACCTCATCATTCCACGTTGGTTTGCTGCACTACCGAGCGCTAATTTCAGTGTCTATGCAGCAGCTTTTTGTTAAAGATAAGCAGAAATGCAGATGTTAAGCCCAAGGCAAGGAGAACGCAGCCCATATATAGAATGTAGCTCCTGAATGCTAAGAACAACTTAAGGGTTTGTCTTTGTCACACTCCACTTTGTCTCATTCCAAACCTGTCCTATATTCCCTGGTGGCCTCTCATCCTACTGTAGTACTATCCCAGTCTGACTCTGTTTGGCTTCTGACCTGAGATAAGGGCTGTCAGGTGAAGAGAAGCGGGGGATTTCTCCCAGGTGAATCCTGACTGCTTGTGGGGTTGAGTTAACAAATAAGTCTATTTTCTTTTTCTCTCCAGATTTCATAGGACATGGCTTTCCTGAAAACTGGCCCAGTGGACTGGAGAACTGGTAGGTTGATGCCATAAAGCCAGATACGTAATATTTGTTGGGTTTTTGGTGAGCTGCTTTCTACAGTAAATTAGAAGACATAAAAAGGTGGCTAAAGGCCATGCTTGAATCCAGGATGAAAACCTGAAGATGCTTCCCTAGCTGGTCCTATTCTTAGCATCTCCCCTAGACATTTAGATATTTCAAACAAGAGTCAGATTTCACAATCCTGCCAACCTTCAGTAGCTTTCTGTTAGTTCTCAGTTGGCACAGCGTTATCTATCATGGCCATTCCCCCTTCTGCTCCCTTTTCATGGGTTCCCTATTAGCTTGTTTGTTTATTATTATAAATAGAATGTCTAATTACAATTACAAGCCTGACCTAAACTCCACACTCAGGCTGTTTGTATACAGGATGCCTTTTCTGCAGAGACTGGGCCCCAGGGAAAGAATACCTGTTCCAGCAAGCGCAGCTGGAGATGCACAAGAAAAGTGGGGCCACGTGTCCAGGCCTGCCATCACCATAGGCAACATTCCTAAGCAAAGACAGTGCTGGGGAATGGAGGAGTCTCTCTCCAGCACTGGAGACAAAGGGATGGTCCTAGCGAATAAGTCATCCTGATGAAAAGGGGCTGCTCCACTCTCCTTTATCTGCTGCCTGCAGGATTTATAAAGGGACCCCTCCTTTCAATACTGTACTTGCAAAGCATGTGTACCAAGAGATGCCCACAAGCACTACTTTGCCTCAAAGGATAATGAGTTTGATGACCACCAGACAAAGATACTCAGTTCTCTAAGTCAGGGGTCCCCAACCCCGCAGTCTGTGGACCGGCACCGGGCTGTGGTATGCCAGAAACCGGGCCATGCAAACAAGCGAACCCCACCCACCCATCCGCAGGATGCAAGCAGCAAATGAGACCATGCCCCCTCCGGTCTATGGAAAAACCTGTCTCCATGGAACTGGTACCTGGTGCCGAAAAGGTTGGGGGCAACTGCTTTAAGTGACCCTATGGATGCGGTTTCCCATGGCTATTTTTTTTAGCTCTAAATTTCTCAGCTCTAGATCTTTGGGATTCCCTCTCATCCTAATGTTAGCCCAGTCTTACTCTGTTTGGCTTCTGACCTGAGATAAGGTCGGTCAGATGCTGCTTTGCCTACCCTGACTACAGAGATTTTTCTAGTTTTAGGCTGGCTAGAATATTTGGGCTCGTATTTTCCACATCCATCTTTTGAACTCATCAGAGGTGTCTTACATGCCTTAACACTCCCCAAATCCTACTTTTTGGGGTCTAGTTGAAGATTTTTCAATTTGTATGGGTACTTCTTCCTAAGGCTGTTCTTCTGACCCCTTCATCTGAAAGTTCTTTCTAGAGCTTAACCAAAAACATTTCTTTCTTAGCAAGGTTATGAGACTATTAACTTCATGTAATGCTATTGTGAAAAGCAGCATGGAATGGTTAAGTCATAGTTTTAACAAAATAAAAGATTACATCAAAGCGGAACTGAAAGGCCCAACTCCAAATAATAAGGAGCAAGAAAAGGTTAAAGTGTGTCTGGACTATTTTGATTTTTTTTTTAAAAAAAAGGTGGGATATAAAGAAGGAAGTAGTAATTCGTTATATAATTAGTTAACAGCTACTTTGGTGCAGTGGTTAAGGTACCAGATTAGAAATTGGAGATCATGAGTTCTAGTCCTGTTTTAGGTGTGAAACTAGTTGGATGACTTTGGGGCATTCGTTTTCTCCCAACCCTAGGAAGCAGGAAGTAGCAAACTATTTGTGGAAATACTGCCAAGAAAACTGCATAGACTTGCCCATGTAGTCACCAGGAGTCAAGACTGAAGCAAAGGCATAGACTTATCTGAGTTCATACAACACGATAAGTCATATACAGTATTATGATTTACAAAGCAGTGTGTTTGAATTCATACAATAAGCTTAACCAGAAAATGAACTATATTATAGTTTAAAACAATGTAGGGGGCGTGCATAAGCGCACCAACGTGCCTACCGTCCCTGTCCTATTGTTTCTCTTATTCTTTTATTTTTCTTATATGTACCCATTTCATATATTCACAACTATGTATACACTTGTACTTATTATCTTGTAAACAATTGACAAATCAAATAAATAAATAAAATAAATAAAATGGGCAGATCCGGTCTCCACCTGGAGAAGTACTAAAATCCAAGATGATCCAATAAAGCTAAGTAGGAGAAAATAATGCACAAATAACACATTTTGCAAAATGCAGGTGGTGAATATTTATTGAGTATTGGTGATTCAAAGATCAATTTTTCACAGCTTCATATCTTATAAGGACCAAATCAACCGTACTGACTTTTTCCCCATAAACAATAGATTCAGCATTTTATGAACACAACCAAAGAACTGGAAGCATGGCTGTAGTCCTCCGTTTAAATTAGGAATAGGTTTCATTCAGCTGAATATAATTACTTTAAGTAGAACAGTGCAGAGATGCACTCCAAGCTTACCACTTTACAGGTCCCCTGTGTTCTTTCAGCTGCTCAGAGGTCAGATATTGATGTGCAACACTTTTCAACTGACAGCTCTGGCAAGAACTGCTTATTCTTGCCTTTTCATTTTGCTTGTCTAAAGCAATAATGTAGCTATGAGTTGTTTTTCATTGTATCTGAAGTAGGGCTACTTTGAGTTGTTCAGCAAGCTACATGTTCACAGCTATAAAAAACCATATTTGATGTATAGCCACAACTTTTTTCCTTATCTTATAGACAACCTTGCCAGACGTTGTTCCCAGGGCCTTACATATTTAAAGCTGACCTTGAGAGCAGTCCCCGTTTCAAACTGGCTGGTGGTAATACTTTTGGGTGTCTGCGTGAAAGAATATGGACTCATGAGATTGTTAACTGTTTATCAGTTATTAAGTACAGTAATGAAACTTTCAACCTCCAGATACAGTTTAGTAAGAAAGAAAAGAAATACTTTAGAGAAAAAGAAAAGAAATAATTTACTTAGAAAGTTAAATGGAAATATATATCATTAAAATATGTTGGATATCTTGTATGATCCTGAAACCTTCCCTGCCTCCGAAACTTGTTATTGAAGGAGTTTACTAAGACAATTTATTAATAACAAAAATAAAAAATGGACAGCATTAAAAAAAAGTACTGAATTGGAATATATTACCGGATAGTTACATCAGGTTTAAAGGATGTAAAATATGCCTGTAAGAAATCTTCTGCAGATTTCTGCTAACAGCTATTGTAATCTTCGTTAATCCTGGTGGTAAACCTTCAGGTATAAAAGAAAGGGAGGAGAGAGGAAACAGCCCCCATACTTCGAACTGCTGCCATAGAGAAGAAAAGAAGGGTTGGACCCTTTTCTTTAGAGTTGTATGTCCTCCATCAAAACTGAAGGGGAAAAAAAAATTTTTTTAGCACGCGGTGGTCGTCCAGCTCGGCCTTCCTCGCTTCCAGTTGAGAATGAACGCCGCCTACTTAAGAGCCGCGTCACCCGTTCACCACGAAGGCTCAGGAGGAGCGACCTTTTACGCACGCCTCCTTCTGTCTGGGCTGCCCGCCCTCTCCTTTATAAGGCCACTGCGGTAGAGGGAGTTGCACCAGGCGTAGCTGCAGCTCACTGAGGCTCCGTCGCACCGACTCAGCGTGAGATTTCAGCCCCGTCACATATTACACCATGGTAAGGTGGGGAAGGGAAGAAAGTAGGCGGGCGCAGCTGGCCTAAGCCTGCCTGCGCTACCGAATGGGACACGCGTCCTAGGTCGCCCGCGCGGAAGCTAGCACGTTTCAGGGTTGGACTCTGGCCATCCGGTACAGGCTGGGCGCGCTTTTGAGTTCTTCCGCTCTCCGGTCAAGGTGAAGGTTTTTGGCCGAAAACTCCCGTTCTCAGCCCACCTCACCTGCGGAGTTAATGTAACCTGGCCTGTGGGAGAGCAAAGGGTGACCCCGGTGCATTTCAAGAGCGCGCGGCAAGAGAAGCAGGCGCGTGCTCTCTGGACCCGCGGAGGGAGCGGCCAAAAGAGGCCTGGGCCTCTAGTAGTTTGGCGCGCTCGGGGCTCGCCGTTTCTCTTCCTTAGCCGCGCTGGTGCAACGAGCAGGAACAGCTGGGTTTGAGGCGCAGGTTGCTCCTTGGCAAGGGAGGCTGGCAAAGGAACCGAGAGTTGTGTTTGGGGGTGGGGGAGGGGAGAGAAGGGCGCTGCCGAGGCCTGCTTTGCCTGCCCCGGTTGGATAAACGGGAGCGGGGGAGAATATTCTCGCCCGTCGTTCTGAAGAGTCGTGGGGCAGATGGTCCTCTGTTTTCGCCCCCCTCCCCCCTCCTATACTTCATTGCTCTCCGATGGGGGAGTAAGAGGTTATTAATAGGCAGGTAGAAAGGAGGGAGCATCAGGGCGGGGACGCTCCCCTGATCGGCTTCCAGCGAAATCCTGGAGCTGGAAATAACTGGGCCCCCGACCGGGCTTCAGTCCAAAGTAGGGAATTGCCTCTCCAGTTTCATTTCGGGGTTGGGGGGGGGAGATGTCTGTACTTTGCGAAAGGGTGTCCTATATTTAGTATTCCAGTCTCAGCAAACGGGAAGCAGCCCCCCTCCGAAACAAGCTCTGTCACTACTACGGGGCGTGTGGGGGGGGGATTTGCCTTTGTTTTCCAATGAGGAGACTCGTTCTCCCAGCTCCGGGAGCCAGTTCCCTGGAGGCTGGGGCGTTTTTGCATATGTGTTGCGTCTTTTTTTTTTTTTTTTTTTTTAACTGCGTCACTTATGAATCTGCGCGAATGAGGTGCGGAAAGCGGAAGAGCGTTTTTTTTTTTTTTTTAAAGTAGCGTATTCGTTTTGGCTAGCCAATTAGCCAATTGCGGCTTTTGATTCGAATCTCGGAAGAAAAAAGAACGAATTTACGCGCCATTTAAGAGTTCCCCCGGGGCGCCTTCGCAGTGCTGGGCCGGCCTCACAGTAAATGCCTCGCCCAAAATTTGCTCTGCTGCTCAGAACCATTTCTCCCCCACCCACCTCCATCGTTTTGCTACCCTTTACCTGTCTCGTTGGCGGTGAAGGCTTTTTCTACACAGCAAAATCGCTGGACTTGTTCCAAGCACCAAAGGAGCCTGTAAGAGATCTGGTTCACATAGTACACAGTCTTGGTTTGCTGAGTAACAGCACAGTTGATTGGATGCTAAGTCATCCAACTTGTTTGCCATTATCAGTGGCCCTGTGCGAAGGACCACAACTGAGCCCGGCATTTATTTTGTTACGTGGGAAATTTGATAAGTGAGTTTTGCTCCATTTTACAACCTTTCCTGCCACAGTTGTTAAGTGAATTGCTGCACTTGATAAGTTAGCAACCCAGTTGTTGAGTGAATCTGGCTTCCCCATTGACTTTGCTTGTCAGAAGGTCGCAAAAGGGGATCCAAGTGAATTTTGAGAAACAGCATCTGAATTTTGATCACATGACCATGGGAATGCTGCAAAGGACATAAATGAAAAAATAAGCCGCTTTTTTCAGGCCATTGTAACTTTGGTCGTTAAATGAACTATTGTAAATCGAGGACTTACCTGTATTGTCTGCATTCATGTAACATTCAAATCAGACCATTAAAAACTTAGAATGAGATGTGTACTTTGTTACAGACTCGTGTTTTTTAATTGGGAGGATTAAAAAGTATGAAGCCAATCCAGAAGCTTGCGGAATCCTAAAGATGTGGGTGGGCATACTAGTGTTCAGTGGTGCACGTGTATGAAGTACTTCCAGAGATGTCCATTCAGTAATTCTTTTATTTGTGGGCTAGGTATGATAGGCCAGTATTTCCATATGAGGAACTGAGGGTAAGAATTTGCTCAAGGTCATTTCGCAAATCTATAGCAAAGATTAAACTTGACTTTAGAACTTGTATTCAGGGCCTATTCCCTGTCATAATTTTGATGATGCATAGTACTTGTGCAGTTGGATTTGTCAGCATTGCTTATGGATGGTGTTGGGAATTGGGGGTTTTGGAGAAAAAAAATCAAAACAAATAAAACCATGGTTGTAAAGTGGGACAATTGATAGGTGAGTATAGTACTGAACAAATAATATGCAGCTAATAAAAACACTTCATTAATTCTCAGTAAGAGCCTTGAAATGACACATAAAAATTTATCAAATATATCTTTCCTATGTGTTCCCTAGTAACATTCAATGAATCAGCAAGTTTTAAAAAATAAGGTATTTGTTTTCCTTTTCTGTTTATTCTGCAAAGAATGAAGATAATTATATGCACTCCTATCATTTTTATAGCAGAATTACTTGCTATTGAGTTTAATGGGGATTTCATTACCTTGTGTAAGAGTGCCTAAGCTCCCCCCCCCCCATATATATATATATATAAATATATATAATGTCTGTTTTGTTTAGTTAACAAGCCTGGGAGGGATTAGAAAATCTAAAAATGATTTTAGTTCCAAATTTAATTTTATGTAGTATTTTACTCTATCACAAAACTGTGTAATATTTTACTTCTGTGGAGTTGAGACTATGGCCAAGAATTAATTTTCATATGGATTCATATTGCCTCTGATTTTATCCCCTGTATTACACTACTTACTTTGAGCTTTTAATGTACAGTATAAATAGCTTGAGAAATGCTCTCCTGGGTAAATTGTGCCTTGAATAAGTGAATGAGAGATGCTGTATGATGGGGGAGGGGGAGTTGCTTATAGGCAAAAATAGCATACAGTTTTATGGGGCAATTATGTCATTCATTTGGAACAAAAATAGTCTATCATTTTCTCAATCTGGCTTTTTTTTTTCCCTTTAGCAATAGCTTACTGGCTTGTCCTTGTGATTGTGTGTGCTTGGTTTTATGATTCTGTTTGTATGCATTCTAGAAGGGAGCTCTAAAAGGGTATAGTACAGCTGTGGAACACCATGGACCAACATGACATTCTCTTTGTGTGTTAGGACTGCAACCCAGAAGGTTTGACTGGTTAAGGAAACATCTGTCCAGGTTTATGTTCCTTCTGGAATCAGCATCCTCTATGAGTCAAGTTTGCTTGATTTTTTTTCCCCACTGCCAGGGATCCAGTGAAGGGGGTTCTGGGTAGGATCTAATCTGACAGGGTTTTAGGCCTCATTCTCAGCAAGTACGAATAAATTACCACTATGAAGAAATAACTTGTACCACAGTGTATATTTGCAGCCTGAATATAAACATGGCTTTTCCATTTCAGAGAGAATGCCTAGTTTTAAAACTATAAGTAAGATTCCATACATAGCACCCTAATTCAGTGATCCCCAACCTTTTTTACGCCGCAGCCCAGTATCCCCAACCTTTTTTATGGCGCGGCCCGGTACCGGCATTAGCTGGGCGCCGCCATCTTTTTTTGATGAAAAAGTGCTTCCGGTGACCTCACCGGAAGCACTTTTTCATCAAAAAAAGATGGCGGCGCCCAGCAAGCCAGCGGCCCGGTAGGACTTGTTCCGCGGACCGGTGGTTGGGGACCCCTGCCCTAATTCACATACAATATTCAGATGCCACCTCTCCTTGGGATTATAGGTAGTTCTCTTACTTAAAAAAAAATTAAACCAGACCATTTCTATCTAAGCATTACTTACTCTGAACTCACCTCTTCTCCTTGGAAAGATGGATAACATGGCCATCTTGGAATTAGCATATTTATTTAAAACAGTGTTGTATGTGCTCAGGTTCATTCAGTACCTTACTCTGATGGCCTCACAAAGGAGGTTACTAACTCCATGAACAAGGTGGTCCAGCAGACTGTTTGGATGTCTTTGTAAATAGCTGCCCTGACCTGATACTAAGTATTTGATCCACTAAACACCAGCTGGCACAAATTCACTAGCAAACATTTGAAATCTCTGGGCAATATTTATTTGGCTTTTCCCACCTCGATCACTTTGTTGTTGCAGGGCTGTAGGTAATTCAGGGAGGGTTGTCTGTATTGACTTTTAGGGAGATTTAGGGGCTCTTTTCCTTCCTTCCTTTCTTTCTTTCTTTCTTTCTTTCTTTCTTTCTTTCTTTCTTTCTT